CTAAACCCAGAGAGCTGGGCAAGCTCAAGGGGAACCTGTGTGCGCGTGCACATGTGTGTCCTACACTTACCCCGCCCTCAGAGCCTTGGGGGTCTCGGGATGGCCCGGACACTTCACTTCCACTGGAGTCCAAAGCAGTCTGAAAACCAGTAACACCAAGCCAGGCTGCATGTAAGTGGGGGATGGGCCCCTGAGTGCCCGCCCCTCCGCCCGGCAGCCCTGCAGAGGGCCGTCCTGGGCCCGTAAGAACACACACAGGGGGGGGGGATTTCCTTCAAGTAGCATGTAGGATGAGGAAGCTATTCGTCACTGGCACCCTCCCCCTGGGAGCCCAAATCTCGTCACCCTGGAGACAGCCACTCCTGCATCCCTCGTTCTTAAGAGGCTGGGGATGCTGAGGGGTGGCTGAGCCAGACTTGAGATGCAGCTGCTTTGTGGCTTCAGCTCTGCTGGCCTTAGTGTCCCCTGTCCTCACTGTCCAGGTGACGAAGTCTTTCTGGTAGTAAGCTGGGAAGTGCCACACCTGGACACAACACGTGATTTGCAAGGTAACCCACCTTTCAAAGTACACATGACAACACCCTCATTGTGAGGAATGGGGATGACAGCTGCCAGGAAGCTGCTCCCAGATGAAGGGCGGTGGCGGCTTAACAACTCCAGCCCTTCAGTCTGCTTGTCCCTCCTGTGAGCTGTGTCCCTACCTGGGGCAGATCCGGTGCAGGGGAATGCTGTTTCCACAAATGTCACCAAATCTTTAGCTCACAAAATCAAACGGGACATGGCCCTGAGCTTCTGCGGGGCGGGGGGGGGTTTGTCACAATCAGACACACCTGGAACAGTGCAAACCTGGTGTTACCTCAGAGCTTCGTGTGAAAGGGCTACATAGCTCACAAGTGAGTCACGAGGGCTGTGTGTGAAAAAGCTGCGGGAGGGGCGAAACGACCTGATAACTTTCAGCATCTTCCCACCGAGGAACCAGCAAAACCGTATCACAAGCATATAATGTAGGAATAACAAAAAAATTCTTCTAAAGTCATGGTAATGGAAGCCAGTGCCCCTGGGAGATGTCTTCTCCCAAGAAGAGATGTGTGTCCCCTACAACCCACACAGGGCGCCCCAAACAGTGCTGGTCACCCATAAACGGTTCTGTAGCAAACACCAGTATTTTACACAACAAAACAAAAATCTTCAACTTTGGGTCTCCTACACTTTGGGGACGAGCAGAAAAGACAGTGCTTAGAACGTTCTGCAGCGCGACCACACAGCCAGAAGGCCAGCCAGGAAGGATGAAGGTCACTAAGGCTAACAAACACCTCGCAGCAACGACCTGCCGCCACACAGGGGAAGTGACCTTGAAAGATGGCAAGAGAGCTTTCCATTTTGGAATTAAAAGTGTTTGCACAGTCTGCTGCCTTGCTCCAGGAGGAAGCCAGATTATAATCCGTCAGATTATACAAAGAAACAGACAAACCGTTCAAAAGGCAGTGTGTGCCTGTGGCGGGAGGTTCACCTGGACCCCACTGACAGCAGTGGAGGCGGGCAGGGAAGACAGGCCACCATCAGGAAGACAGGTACCGAGGGACGAAACGACTCTTGAAATAGTTGGGGATTTTCTCTCCACTTTCCTATTTGCCCCAAGAATCCAGAGACTCAAGTAGTTTGATAAAACGGAAGGAAAAAAAAAGCCTTATAAAAAGATGCTACCGGAACTGTTATAACAAGGGACAATGGGGCATTCCATGTCAAATAGTCCCCACATCTCACCCACCCACAGGCCAGTGACTTAAAAAGGTCTGTCTCACTGTCCCACACTTTTCACAATTTCCTGGGTTGGTCAGGTACCTGAGGCTAATGATCTCTGCCTCCAACTGGAGAAGCCACAGGTGGAGGCCACAGGTGCCTCTAACCAGCGCCTGGCAGCCCCCGTCCCTTCTCCACCCCCCATCCCCCCCCCCCCCCGCACCTGCACCTGGAGGAAGGCGCCCTCTCCCCTTGGGGCTCACCGGGTTCTGTTCCACCTGCGCTCACCCAACACCTACTTTCCAGGCCAAACGTCCCTCTCACTGACACCACCACCCCCACCCGCCACGCACGCAGCTAGGGCGGTGGGGACCGGTAGGAGGGCGGAGGAAAAACTTCCGCCAACTTGCCTGCCGCGTTCGCTTCCCGCATTCCTGATCACTGATCCAGGAGAAAACCCTGTCCGGGGGCGCCCCTACCTCTGGCTCAGTGTGGCGGGTCCCAGGAAGGGCGAGGGAGCCACTCTCCCCTGCCCAGGGGTCCCTTCCCTCCTCCCGCGGTGGAGTTCGCACTCACCGGCAGTCCCGGGGCGCATCTTCCAGGCGCGGCTGCGGGCCCTCCTGGCCC